TTTTTTCTTTTTTTTTTTTTTTTGAGACAGAGTCTTGCTCTGTTGCCCAGGCTGGAGTGCAGTGGCACAATCTCAGCTCACTGCAATCTCCACCTCCCGGGTTCAAGTGATTGTCATGCCTCAGCCCCCCGAGTAGCTGGGCGTATGCCACCACACTTGGCTAATTTTTGTATTTTTAGTAGAGATGAGGATTCACCATGTTGCCCAGGCTGGTCTCAAACTCCTGACCTCAGGTGATCTACCTGCCTTGGCCTCCCGAAGTGCTGGGATTATAGGCGTGAGCCCCCATGCCCGGCTGACACAAGGAACTTTTTATGAGGTCCTAGGAATGAAGAAAAACAGGCAATAAGGCAAGAATCACTGTCAAAGGAGTCTGCGCCACCTGCTCACACAGTTCACTTGTGCCTTCTGAGCTTGCCCGAGCCCAGTCTACATATGCTGTCTCCACGTGTTTAGAGATTGTTGCTGCATGTGCCCAGTCCCAAGGCGGGGTGAGTAACACAACATGTAATGCACATGCAGCTGCTTCACGACCCATAACTAGGCGTTCTCTTCCTATCAGGATCAGCAGCAAGCCAGAAGAATAGTTATCTGTGGAACAGGCTGTGCATCTATTCCAAGACCCTAGAGGCCTGTGCTGTGATTCTCTTACTGGTGTTTTCCAGGGCCTCCATATCACACACACTGGATATTGTTGGACACTATTTTTTACCTAAATAAATTCAGCCTCATCCTAAGCAATGGTATCTATGGTGGGCTGGTTATATTTTTTCTTACATAGGTGATAAGTAAAATAAATACTTAAGATTTAAAATTGGGTGGGTGTAGTAGCTCATGTCTGTAATCCCAACACTTTGGGAGGCTGAGGTTGGGTGCCTGTAATACCAGCTACTCAGGAGGCTGAGGCAGGAGGATTGCTTGAACCTGGGAGGTGGAGGTTGCAGTAAGCCAAGATCATGCCTCTGCACTCCAGCCTGGGCAACAGAGTGAGACTCTGTCTCAAAAAACTAAACTAAACTAAACTAAATAAAAGGCAATAAACCAGGCACCATGGCTCATGCCTGTAATCCCAACACTTTGGGAGGCTAAGGCAGGTGGATCTCCTGAGGTCAGGGGTTTGAGACCAGCCTGGCCAACAGGTGAAACCCTGTCTCTACTAAAAATACAAAATTAGCCGGGTGTGGTGGCACGTGCCTGTGATCGCAGCCCTACTTGGAAGGCTGAATCAGGAGAAACACTTGAGCCTGGGAGGCGGAGGTAGCAATGATGCCACTGCACTCCAGCCTGGACAACAGACTGAGACTCCATCTCAAAAAATAAAATTTTAAAAAGATAATAAAAATAAAAGGCAGTTTCTGAGTTGTTGAGTTTAGGAAAAGAAATAAAAAATAAAAAAATAAAAATAAAAAAAGAGAAAAGAAAAAATAAAAGGCAATAAGCATTTGCTTATCAATTGCTCTCAGGAGGCTTGCTCTTAGAACCCATACCCCAGGCTACAGGAAAGCCACACAGCCATGCAGAAAGGCTGTGTGGAGGTGTTTTAGCCACAAGGCCAATTAAAGTCCCAGCCAACAACTCGCATTAACCAGACATGTCACTGAGAGAGCCCTCTGATCATCTCAGCACCCAGGCTTGGAGATGCTTGAGCTGATACTGAGTGGGGCAGAGATGGATAAGCTATTGCCACCAAATGCTACAAAAATAGTAGATCTGTGGGCAAAATAAACATGGTCAACATTTTTTCTTTTTTAATTTTTAAAAATCACAACCCTGCTCACCTATGTTGTAATATATAACACTAATATGTTTGGGATTATTTATTTATTTATTTGAAATGGAGTCCTGCTCTGTTGCCCAGGCTGGGGTGCTGTGGCAGGATCTGGGTTCACTGCAACCTCCACCTCCCAGATTCAAGCAATTCTCCTTCCTCAGCCTCCCAAGTAGCTGGAACTACAGGCATGTGCCACCTCGCCAGGCTAATTTTTTGTATTTTTAGTAAAGATGGGTTTCATTGTGTTGTCCAGGATGGTCTCAATTGCCTGACCTTGTCATCTGCCTGCCTCGGCCTCCCAAAGTGCTGGGATTACAGGCATGAGCCACCTCGCCCGGCCCTTGAGATGTTTTACTATGCAGCAGTAGATCACTGGCACAGGAGTCCTCTTCTCTCCCTAGGCTCTCTTTTCTTGGTCTTAATGCTTGTCCCCACTTCCCTGTCCCCAGAAGCACTCAGCATAATCTCTTCAATGACACCAGCTCTGAGAAAACTAAAGCCAAAAAGAAAAATGTAGTAAGCTGCTAATTATGCCTGAAAATACCTTCTCCCCTTCTTCTTAATAACTGAGTTTTAAATAAGCACACATTACTCTAGAGAGAGAACACATTTCTCCGTATTCCTTGCAGGTAGATGTGTCCATATGATGTAATTCCAGACAATGGAATGTGAGTGTAAGTGATGTGTGTCATTTCCAAGCCTTGGCCATGAAACAGGAAGCACATGCTTTTCTAAATTCTCTTTCCCTTTTCCATAGCTGCAGCCATGCAGATAAAGACAATACCCTAGGAGACGGAGGAACAACACAGACGAGAAAGAAGCCTGGGTTCCTGAATAACCACGTGGAGCCGAGCAGCTTACTTATCTCAAACCACTGCTGCCAACCTCCAGATTCACACATGAGAGAGAAATAAACTTGTATCCTTTTTGCATGACTGCATTTTTGGGTCTGTGTTATAGCAGCTTAATCTCTATCTGAATAATATTGGATTTAAGTATCTGAAGCCGTATGAATTAACCTTCCCTGAGGCAAAGGCACAGAAGAGCCTATTTTCCTAAAATGGGAACATGAAGGCATAGGAAGGGAAAACGCAACCAATGGTCAGGAAATTATGCTGCTATAGGCTCTTCTCTGATGAGTGGCTAGTCCTAGTGAGGGGGCTGCGGGAATTCAAAGACGGAGAAACTGCCTTCAGATAGAGCTAGCAGGGAAGACGCTGCATACAGTGACATTAAATTGAAGGTAGAATTTGGATAGATGGATGGAGGGAGGGCAATTCAAACAAAGGGAACTTGAGCAAAAGGGTGTAGGTAGAAAGTTGCCAGATCTTTCGGGAGATGAAGAAGTGATATCACACAGATTAAGGCCAGAGTTAAATATAAACTGATACTTAGAAGCTTAAATTCAACATGGCAAATTCACAGGTTCAGTTTCCTAAAAGGCTTTTCATGTTTTTATTAGAGAACTGTCTGCAAACAAATCTTTAGTTGATGAGAAGTTTAAACATAATTAATTCTAGTATAATACATGCATATTTCATTGTTTTATGAAGTCCTTCAAACAACACAGTTTTTTAGAGGTATAATTAACCTCTTTAGAATATTATCTTACGACAGAATAAACAAACCAAAACTTCAGATATTCTTTTTTTTTTGAGACAGTTTTGCTCTTGTTGCCCAGGCTAGAGTGCAATGGCACCATCTTGGCTCACTGCAACCTCCGCCTCCCAGGTTCAAGCGATTCCTCCTGCCTCAGCTTCCCGACTAGCTGGGATTACAGGCTCACACCACCACGCCCAGCTAATTTTTGTATTTTCAGTAGAGATGGGGTTTCTCCATGTTGGTCAGGCTGGTCTCAAACTCCCAACCTCAGGTAATCTGCTCGCCTCAGCCTCCCAACGTGCTGAAATTACAGGCATGAGCCACCATGCCCGGTCCAGATACTCTTTCTAAAGACCGTCTTAGTCAGTAATATCTGTAATCACATGACAATGAGTCACAGCATGTGATCATCCTGAAGATTCAATGATGCTGGCCACCCAACTCACTTACTCTCCTTTTGGCAACAGATTTTCTTTTCTTTTCTTGTCATTTATTTTTTTTTTTTTTTATATATTTTTTTTTTTTTTTTTTTAGATGGAGTCTCCCTCTGTCGCC